AGGAATACAACAGAACATGTACACAGTGCACCTTCAGAAGAACAGTCAGGTATTACACTCAGGTAAGTAAAAGAATACAGCAGAACATGTACACAGTGTACCTTCAGAAGAACAGTCAGGTATTACACTCAGGTAAGTAAAAGAATACAGCAGAACATGTACACAGTGTACCTTCAGAAGAACAGTCAGGTATTACACTCGGGTAAACAATTTGGACATCATATTCTAAAGAAATGTAGCCCCACTAGTCACAAGTTAGGTCAAGGGTCATCTGGGATTATTAGCTAACAGGGATCCCATGCTTAGTAGCTGTCCTGGGACCCATCGTAGAAAAAAAGTGAAGCCATATTAAATATTTGGCAGTGCTTTTAGAATTTGTTCCCTGCTTTGATTATATTACTTAGAATTAAAAACTTAAAATTGAAATAAAATGTTTGTACAGCTCCTAAATTTGCTGCAAGAGCTGCTAATGGATAATATACTTGTAGTGATGATGGCTTACAATGATCATTATTATTTCAGTTGGGTAAAGAAGACGTGAAGTTCGACACATTTGTCAACAACCCCTGGGCTGTCAGGCAAGCTGCCCTGGATAAGTTTGCTCAAGCTGCAAGAACCGTAAGTAGATTTGTTGAAATGCGAAACTATTGTGTGGATAAAGGCAGTATCCTGTGATGTCTTCCATTGTTTAGGCACATGTATGTTGTGTTTAAATTTAAATTTACTGCTGCAGTATTTCATATCATTAGTACTGAATGTCCTTGTAAGATTTGTTAGTGCTGAGAGGTTCCTTAGGGAAAGTGCTCACATCCACACGGGGGTGATGCCTGTCATACTGTAGAAGCTGTTAGGATAACATTTGCCTTGATGATTTCTCTTTGTGGTTTTTCACTTGAATTGTAAAAAAATGTATAGATTGAAAGAAAAAGAGATCATCAGTGTAATCTCTCTCCCTCTTTCTCCCAGAAAGTATAAAGATGGAAGTTTTTCTTTTATTCCAGGTGTTGGTCAGATGCAGAGCTGATAATAAAATCCGAGGTCTAAAAACCATGGTCTTGGACTGGGGAAAGAAGAAAGAGAAGAAAGCAAACTCAGGTGAAAATACTAGTACTCAGAAAATATTTGAGCAGACACTAACGTGTCATCTGCCTGTGTGTGTCTCAGGAGAGGAGATATGCTGCATGCTTGTATTACATTTACTTCTTGTTTAATACAGATTGAGTGAGTATCATTAACTCTGTTCACATTTAAATGTGTCATGTAATGATGTGTTGCCTAGGTGATGGAGATGAGGATGAGGAAGAGGAAGAAGAGGAGGAAGAGAGTCAGACAGGACCAGAAATGTTACAGGAGACACTGCACTCTGAGAAGATTCACAGGCAGAAGTTTCCTTACTATGTCCCTCCTGATATCAAAGATGATATGGTAACTGCTTTTATCCTTACTATGACCCTCCTGATATCAAAGATGATATGGTAACTGCTTTTATCCTTACTATGTCCCTCCTGATATCAAAGATGATATGGTAACTGCTTTTATCCTTACTATGTCCCTCCTGATATCAAAGATGATATTATTTTTATTTCATTAGTTGATAACAGTGAGGTCATATTTGATATTTTGGCTGTGGTGAACTTACAGCAATGTTATCTTATAGAATTCTTCATGACTGTCAGTTGACCATTTTGTTCCATATATATATATATATATATATATATATATATATATATATATATATATATATGAGTCATTTTACTTATCATGCATATTCATCATGTATTGGTAATAATAGTAGTATGTACTTGCATTTGTCTAGCATGATTTCAGCATTTGAACTGATCAATGATTAGAAAATGAAATTTTCAACTGACTATAGTATAAAGCAATGGGGAGTACTGTCAAAATGTCACCAACAAATATCATGTATATTGTTGAATTAATTAGACATAAATTAGAAATTATAATGTTTCTTTATAGTACTAAAGACTACAGCTCATTAATCTTCCTTGCTGTCTTCCAGGCTCCAGATGCCTTAGATTTTGTCCCTGTGGAGCAGACTGAGGTGGAGGTGAAGAAGAAAGTCCCCTATTACAATCTCAAGGTAAACATATTATAATCTTAAGGTAGATCGGTCGTTACATGTTCCAAAGTTCGAATTTTTTTAAATTTTTTTTTTTGTTTGAAGAGACACCCAAGTACATTAAAATTTTGCAAAAAAAATTGGGGGTCACCGACCAAATAAGAGAACTAGCCCCAAATATGATACACCCTGCATATCGCACTAGTCCCCATTCAAATCAATGGGAAAATGGGTGTTTTCTCATTAAAGCATTATTTTTTATGACTTTCTGACGTTCGAATTTTTAAAGAAAATTTTTTGTGTAAAGAGGCCTCCAAGTACATTTAAATTTTACCAAAAAAATTAGGGGTCACCGACCAAATAAGAGAACTACGCCAAGTTGAAGTGCGCTACACCCTGCGTGACGCACTAGTCCCCATTCAAATCAATGGGGAAATGGGTGTTTTCTCACTAAAGCATTATTTTTTATGACTTTCTGACGTTCGAATTTTTTTAAAAATTTTTTTGTGTAAAGAGGCCTCCAAGTACATTTAAATTTTACCAAAAAAGTTGGGGGTCACCGACCAAATAAGAGAACTACGCCAAGTTGAAGTG